GATTTATTCATTTGAAAATTTCATGCGACTCGTAAACAATTAAACATGCTCATATGTGTGTAGAGGCTGCAAATGCAGTATTTGTGCAGAAGACGGCTTAAATTTACGTATTTGTCTTTGTAGTGGAGCAAGCTCTTTGTGTAGCTTTAGTGCAGGAACTAGACACTCCGTAGTCCATACTTAGTTCATGCACTACGCATTAGTATTGTACTGCGGATACCTGATTACACAGAAGCTTGTGATTACAGAAGTGTGAATCTTCGATGCTTCTATGTCTTACTAGTATCTACATGTAATTTACATTTTGCTTTAACTTTCAAAGAATAGTTCGGGCTACCTCTATTTATGTATTGAAATCAATTAGTGTTCCTCAACGACAAGAAACGTATGCACATAGACCATCAATGCAAACAAATCAACGGATGACGTCACAAAGTCCTACATGGCACATGTCAAGTTTATATGCGAATTAACATGGAATTTGGAGTTACTTTTTTCTTTATTTTTCTCCTCTATAAAAACACTAACCTCCATTTTCATACCATAGTCCCACCAATGCCTCTTTACAAATCAGGCGTTTTTTAAATTCTCAGACTATCCACGACCCTACGTCGGTGGTAGTGTGAATTCTATTCTTGTAAGTGATGTCCAACGCGACCGTCATTCACCGCAATTGACCCTCGAGATTAATGTGCCCCCGCCACTTACTTACGGTTCCAAAGGTACCTGCACACGCAACCATCCGGACAATTTGTAGGCACAAACTTCAGAACATCCACCAACCCTAATCTGACAAATTTTCAATTTGAAAGGTTCCAGTCTAGACCCACTTCCACTGCTATTTATTTATAGAATGTTCCGAGAAAATATCTCAAAGAAAATTATTTTATTTTCTGCGAATGTGAGATGCTTATTGACTTCTCTCGTTTTCTCTGGAAATAGCTTTTCTAGCGCAAGTAATATCAAAGCTAACATGAAACCTAAGGTTTTTCAAAGCTAGTTTATCGTCTTCTGCGAAAGGTTTATTTAATTATGAATTCATTTGCGAGACCTATGGATATAACCTGTTTTGAAGTTCGCAGCTCGAAGGCACAAACTGTACTTTATTTCCTTGGTTCTATGATCAAGATGTTTCGTTGTAATGTAATATCTATTCTGGTTAGTGATGTTCCGCGTAGCTCCTATTGACCCTTCAATTGACCTCCGAGATTAATGTGCCCCGCGCTAGCCTATTACGAGTTAGGGTCGCCTCGGACCAGAGCCGCCATCTTTTAGCTCGCGTATTTGTTTTGAGGCACGTGTTAATGGAGAATCCAGAAATTTGAAGTGCATTATTTTGTGGTTAGTTACTTGCGTTGTCATTCTTAGGTCAGGTTGGTTATCCAATAACTGCCTGTTATTGCTTGGATGGACAATGAACACATAATGGAAAAAACAAGCTTTAATACCTTTGGGTGTGTATTTATTAGATGCTTTCTCCCTAAAGATGTGAAAATGGCTTCGTAAATTAAACATCTATGTCTAAAACAAGAAGCTAGACAGAATACAGATGTAGCCAAGTCAAATTGCAAAGGCAACAAACCATCTCCATTCTTCCCGGTCGGTAGATGGGATGTTTAATTTTCGTAACGACGCCGCGCTCCGCCACCGGAATGGTCGCTCTAATGTGCCCCAGCTCAGGTGGGATACTGCAAACAACCAGCCATTGAGCAGACCTATTGCTTCGATACTGAAATAAATTGCACATTAGGTGCATGCATTTGATGCATTTTAAGTTTGTCGATATTACGACAATACAGTTTATACTCGAAATATATATATTTTGGGTTAAATTATTTATAACTAACTATTTCGCCCGCGATCCCATGCGATAAAAACTACCTTATTTAACTATAATCTACCTCCGAATTTTCTCTCAATCCCTTCAGCCGTTTTGCATGATTGAGTAACAAATATACACAAAAACTCACAAATTCTCATTAACAGCCTATAAGTGTCCATTGCTGAACAAAGCCTCTTCTCTCACGGAGAAGGTTGGAGCATAATCACCACGCTTGCTCAATGCGGGTTGGCGATTTCAAACTTATAATTAGAAATTATAAGTCCAGGTGTCCTCACGATGGTTTTTCTTCACCGTTTGTCAGTGGTGTCTAAATAATCTTAGAAAGTACATATAACTCAGAAAAAGTCACATTGGTACTTGCCGTTGGTAGGTTTCGAACCCGCACCCTCATGCATGAGAAGCGGGCGTCTTAAAGCACCGGGCCACCATTGTTCTCCCATTTATCATATTACGAAGATATCGAAGAATAGTAATAACATTTCAAAATGCCATAAAGCATTTATAAAATTATTTAAGAACTATAATATTAATTATATTTTAGAAACAATGATAATAAAATGCACACAAGTAGATGCAGACACTCCAATTCAGTAGAAATAGACGGACATTGCCATTAACTCTCATAATAAATGAACTAGAAAAACGTTATTGGTAATATAAGTAATTGCGTCACAGTACTGCTTGCCAAAGGCTATAATTCCAGCAATATTACTTTACTCCTTATAGCCAATACGTTCCACGAATGTCTAATAACATTAAAGGCATACAATTTCGCCTTACACAGGATACGACCGACTATAAACCTGATAGGCATGCCTGTTTCCGCGTCCATCCACTGGGCTATTAACGATTCGCGAAACTATTAGGTTATGCCTAACGTACAAAGGCTGGGCCTAATATCGGCTTCGTTGAAGGTAATGTGTGGTAGATTGACGCTTAGTCCTAACTTGGAATTGATCTCTGCGTGATAGGTTCCAATCTATATGATTGTATTAGAACCTAATGTTTAATTTATATTAATTGTATTCCAAATCTAGTAATAGACGTGGTTGAAACTTGAATTTGGACAGCGTGTGATAACTGTCCAGGAAACAATGAGACTGTTTATTTTGCTGTTTTTGATTTTACCGAAAAATTAAATAAGGAAAAAACAAATTAAATAATATTCTTAAACAAACGAACAAACAGACATGATTGCAAACCGGTCCATAGCGCCATAAGTAACAATTGAGCGGGGGCACATTGATCACGGGGTCAACTGCCAGGTCCAGAGCATCGACCAAGACCCACCTAATAAATAGATGCACGGACCTAAGTGGTTGACTCACTATACATATTGTAGCTAGCTCTCATCAGTTCAGGACTATTCAGCGTTAAGATGAATATTGGTGGCGTCAAATGCGAGGAATGTTGATGTTCAATAACAGTTTCCTTTTAGTTCATTGATTGGAATTACGCCTCTTTGCACACGATGCCGTATCGTAAGCGTTTTGTGACTAAATACTCGCTACTGAACTAAAATACTAACGTAGTGAACAAGGCATTGATGACAATAAACAGCTCGTATGATACGCTTCGTGTGGAGACCTTTTTGGAGATCGTACGTACGTACTAAATGCTTTGATTATATCTTTTGGCCGTACTACATACAGTAAGTAGACTGTTTGTCTTCAACAAATCACCTTGAGATGCAGAAAGGTGGTCTTTCCCGTAGCCACTAACCTATAAAGCACATGGTGACAAATACAGAGTTCTTGTAGCTTTTTATTCGATCAGTAGTCTCCATTATTACTTACTTCTTTATATGAACAGTTGCAACTACGTGTCGATATAATTAATATTACGCAGCAGTTTTTTTAATTACACTGACGCTGTTAGGGGTTTTTAATCACCAATCACCGTGTAAAAATATCCCCCAGCGGTGTGTGCAACGTACGGCCCTGTCAATAGCACGCTCGCTCGTCATATTTAACTAAGTGTGAACTGAACGTAATGGCTGGGGTGGCAACACCGACTGTTACAACCGAATGCGTATAAACAGAATTATAACTAACATATGTCGTTACTGTACACCGAATTTCATTACTTATTATATTGATAATTCTAGCATAGCTGATATCTAAATAACTCAATAAGTTGAATGATTGTACGTACAGATTTAGTATGAAATTTGCCTTGATTAATGTTCTAAATATTTACTATGTATTTAGGATACATGATTCCGAGTAAGAGCAGGTTCGTAGAAAATGTCATTGAATAGTACCTACTCGAAGTTGTTCAACAGTGTCGAATGATTACTACATAGAATAATAAATTAATTATTTACTTTAATTGTTAGCAAAATTCGCGATCAGTTACAAACTGTAGGTACCCATATCTCATGTGTAGACGAGACGATAAAAATAAGGCACTTCCACTGGCAATCAATTACTTAAAAAATGTTGCTAGAGTACCTACACTGCAGTCTGCAGTAAAGTTTGACTTCTGTACACACTAACGACTCGTGATGGGAAACACCGGCTCACGGTGTCTGCTGTTGACGGAGCTTCGTAAAAAATATAGACACGCCAATGAAACGGCAGTTTTCAACCGAAACGTGCGACGCGCGGCAGCTGCCCGCCTTCCCATTGGTGGCAATTACGATCAACACTTGTAATTGGTATAGGCAGCCATTCACAACTGTGACAGCTGTTCGTCCCCAATCAATATGCCAAGAGTTTATAACAGTCCATGTCTGAGAGCGGGAAATAATTTTAACTAGATCAATCGCTAAGGTATGCTTCAAAACGATTTTTTCTATCAAAATTCCGCACTGAACCAAACCAAATATGAATAAGCATTCCAATTTTCTATTGACTTCAAAGAGACGGGACTCGTACCTATGCATATCTGTTTGCGGAAAATGCACCTCCTTTTCCAATTAATCAGGTGTAAAATTGCTAAAGGAACCATCTTTCTAGGAAAGTTAATTAATATTTTTTTATTCTAAATTATACACGTACCTATGTTGTTTCAATATTTATAACCAACTATGTTGGTTTCATTGATTCTATGTTATTGTTCTCGTGAAATCGGTCTGCTTAAATACTCAGACTGGCAATACAGTGTGTTTTTTTACTTAAAGATAGTGATATAATCCCCTCTGTATTGTCAACAGGTGTAAGTGCGAGCAAGATTCCGAAACGCGCGGAGATCCCGCCCAACAAAGGTGGGCCTTTCGCCGCGGCGTTACGGACGCTCGCCAAGAACGCGGGCCCCGACGCCAAGGACGGTGAGTGGACCCGTAGTTTGCTACCTTGGACGAAAGGGTTTTGGAAAATGGAAACCAGATGAAAAAATAACTACAGAACTGTAGACTGAAGAGTTAAAAGGTTTTGAAAATCTTTTTAGCGCTTCCATTCTTCATTATCCGAGTAATCCGCTAATCCCATTTTCTTTTGATCTCCCTTCAGCTTCAGCGTGCACTTGTTGGGTTATATACTTGTCCATACGTGTACCATAATGTTGTCGACTACTGTCTCGCTAGAACATAGATACTGTTTACTTGATGATGTTGTGATGGTTGACCAAAGTGACATGGCGCACTTGGCGATTTTAGGCAATTAACCGTCCTAAAACTATTTTAATAAGTTCTCACTTTAGTCAATCAGTAGTCAAATGCTTGTTTCGTTTCATAAAATTAATGTAATTCTAAGATAATAAGTGTCGTCTAATCTTGTATATGAAAGTGATCCATTTTGTATTGAATGTCCCTAACAATTTGTTGTATTTAATTATTGATTTTCATTGCATTTAGCTCTTAGTCTGTTTTATTTGTATATAAATGAGATGAACAGGCCACACACAAAGCATATTTTTTGTTTTAATGCTTTTTGCGTTCCTAATGGAACCTCTAAACAGGTTTTGTGATGGAACTGCATGCTTGAGGTCATATAAAATGAACAAAGATCTCTGAAAGCGATATAAAGTTATCGTATGAAGTGTAGTAAGAGCTAAACGCACGTGTTAGCGGTGTCCCCGGGCCGCTGTGTGGCCGGGTGCTGACGATCGAGTGTACAGGCGGCGGCACGGGCGGCGCCGCGGCGGCCGAGCGCGACGCCAGCAAGGACAAGCCTCCGCCCGCGCCACCCAAGCGCGCCTCGCCACATCATCTACCAGCCAGCGGGTTCCAGCCGTACCGACCCGATGACAGGTAAACTATACCTCATTACATACAAACATTTTATGGTTACTGAAGAATTCAGAACATCTGCGGGTGATTCTGGCAGAATTTCTTCTGTGTAGCTTTTGACCAATCAAACGTCTTTATAACTCTTACAATTTTGGTAGCAAGCTCATGTTTGTTAACTTAAAAAGTTCATGATTATATTTTTTACACTTTTCAATTATTATACATGTTTGTCAATGTTGTTTATTTTTGTTCACAAGAGAAAGTTGTGCATATTTGTAATCAATTTTTGGTGGTTATTTTCGTATATTGAATGAGTCGTGGTATGTTTGTAGACTGTCTCACCCGGCGGCGTCGTTCCCGCTACTGGAACCGACCGCGTACTCTCCGTACGCACACCCCAGCATCTACTCCAGTGCCGCGCTGCAGTACAGGTATGTGGAGTCCTCATTACACAGGGTCAATATCAGGTGCTGGTCTACGCCATGAAACTGAACAATTTCTAAAAGTGCTAATACATTTACATGGCCCGAATTAGCACCGTAGACTGACGGACTATTAAAATCACTTGGAGATCTTATTTCATCTTCATTAGCATGGTCATTGGGAATCGAAGGCAAGTTATAGGCTGGAAAGCCGCAGGTAAGGTCAGAAAATGTTAGAGGGTGGAGCTGCCCGTTCTTAAAAGGTGGATCGCAGTGTTAGGTGGTGGTTGAGTTGTGTTGTGGCGGCGCGTGTACAGCGGCGGTGTTGCAGGCTGGCGGCGGAGGAGCAGCTGTACCTGGAGCGCGTGTTCCGCGGCGGCGTGGGCTGGCTGCCGCCCTACGCGCTGTACCCGCCGCTCGCGCCGCCGCTGCCGCTCGTGCACCATCTGCACGACGACCGCGACAAGGACCTCGCGCTGCAGCGCGAGCGCGAGCGCGAGCGGGAGCGGGAGCGGGAGCGGGAGAGGTAATACTCAATACATTCTACTGGTTTACTCTGCATAAAGGTATAGGTAATGTTAATTTCGGGGATCCTGTTTAGTTTCGAGCTACATCGGAGTCTTTAAGATGTGAGATCAGGCACTTCTAAAACAATGTTGGTACATCGTTCCTTATCAAAGTTATTTATTTCAATTAGACCAGGAAGTTTTGAACGTCAAGAAAAAAAAATCCCAAGTATTTTTTAAATTGCAAGGTGTAGATTCCTATAGAAAAGAACTACTAAGAAACTTTTTAAGGTTACTATTTGTCATCCAGATTTACAATACAATTCTTTTTTGTCCACGTCCCATACGATAAAAATATCTAATTTAGTTGTCCACGATTTATCCGTAAAATAATTTTTGTTTGTCTAAAATTCGCAGAGAACGTGAACGTGAACGGGAACAGCGAGAGAAAGAACAACGCGAGCGAGAGCGAATGCAGCGAGAGAAGGAGAGAGCGAGAGACGAACAACGCGCGCTCGCCGCCGCCCTACATCCGCACGCCGCGCACGCACACGCGCACGCGCACGGAGCACACGGCGCACACGGCGCACACGGAGCACACGGAGCACACGGCGCACACAGCGCACACAGCGCCCACAGCGCGCACGCGCACGCGGCGCACCTGCTGCCGCCGCCCGCCTACCTGGCGCGCGGGCTGCTGCCGCCGCCGCTGCTGT